ACTGTCCGTCTGTCTGTCCGTCTGTCACAAAACTTGTCCCAACATGAAATTGGCCATTATGAGGCGACACGTGATCACTGGTCGCTCTTTTATTATATAGCTGACATTCTTTATCACCTCTATAAAAAATTTCAACAAGTTTATTCATATTCGCTGTACAACACTACAGTATAGTTTCATTTTCACTTCTTGTCCCACTTGACCAGTCGGATAAACTCGTAATTTCGGAAAAAATAAGGATTTACGTACAATTGTTGTTCTAACACGTGACTTCCAATTAAAACAATGTTGAGTAACGAAAAAGTACATGTATGTTGCGGTTATATGTAATGATTGAAGAAAAAGTCTGTCGATTGTAAGAACAGAAAGTTAAAAAAAGAATTCTACGGAATGCAGCATCTCAAACAATAAACTATGAAAATAGCGATTCCTTGATAATAAATTATGAACGACAACATTGACATTTACATAATTTACATGTTAATGTTTATAATCATTTACAAATCATAAACAATGAAATAATTAAATTTACTTGATGGTGTATTTATGAATAAAATAATTTGATAAATAATAGGCATATCTATGGTGGCTGATTGGTGCCACGTCGTACTTTCGCTCCGCGGGCCGCCAGGCGAAAACAGGGAAAGTGCGACTTCGTCGTATTATCGTATTTTCGCCTTGTACCCCTCAAAACGAAAGTAGGAAGAATGTTGACTTTGTCGTATTTTCGTGTTTTTGCCCGGCATCCCGCGGAGCGAAAATACGACATGACACCAAACCATACCCGCTTCACTACTGGGAGTAGATCATTTACATTGTGAACTATTAATTAATTTCGAGTATTTGAAAATCAAACAGTAGCAAGAAAGAGTCTTGACAGCTGTGTTTTGATTATACAGATTACAATTGAAATTCAATAATTTCCATTTCGTTAAATTTTGTAAAATAGCTTCCATCAAGTCTCAAATGTATATAAAGCACTTGCGTGTTTGGGATAATAAATTTCCAAAATGCATGGATATCCCATAATCTATTGTAGTTTGATTTGTTTGTGCTCGATAACAATTAAGATAATTGTTTTAAGATTAGATTTTAAAAAGTCAGCATTTATACTGGAACTTTCTATTTTGCATGCGTACTGTGAATCCTGTACCCCATACTAGTATTCAAGATTCAACTGTCCAAAAGGGGAAATTTTTCAAAACATATTTTGCGCTAAGGAAATTTGAAATAAGGAAATTCCCTAATTTTCCGCGAATGAAATAAACCGTGTAAACAGATCCCATCATTTTTTTACTATTTATTTCGTTGAATATAATTATGATTTAATTTTGTAGTGTATATTATACCGAAATACCTTGTTTGAAGGAAAATTTATTTATTTATTTACAGCATAACACACTTCGTGAAAGTTGATCATAGTAGTTTCTCTTGTGTCGTTGTTTGTATTTTTCTTCTTCTTCTTCTTTTTGTTTGTTTATTTTTCAGCAATTAATATTCCTTTCGTACTTAATACACATGAATACATGTATATAAACTCATAATGGCGGAGTCTGTTTTTCAGTTTTGAAGGTAATGGGTAATGTCTATAAATAAACTTGTATATATAGAACATATAATGTATTTTACAATCACTCTATATGAATGTAGGATATTATGACGATGTATGTTTTTTAAAAAAGAAGAAGAATCGACCTTTCTTATATGTTTACGGTAGCATGAACAACCATTCATAAAAATGTAATATTAAACTCAATCTGTTAATAAGTGAATGAACATAGAAAATATATTCAAACATTCAGGCATTATTACATTTATTGCGTGATTTTTTTTTTAAATATACTCAAAAATAATGTGTATTTTAAAAACCCAATACTGTTGGGGCGACATTGTCGAAAGGGGGGAAAGCTTAATAAAATGTAACGGTAAGGTATATAAGGTCGTATTGGACTCATTCAAATCAAGACGGCGTTGGAATGTAATGTACGTTATGTAAAATAATGATTTATATCTACCTATAATAATTTTAAAAGTATATATTGTATCGTACGCTGAAGCGCTTTGCCAGTTTTCCGTTAGACTTTGATATACTGGGGAAAAAAAACTTTTAAAAAGATCCTGTCCTATTTTGAACTTTCAGGAAAATCTTACTAGAGCTAGTTTCCAAAATTAATGTATGGTCAAAGTGATGATTTGTAACCATGTCGTCTTCATAAGTCTTTTGAGAAAAAAAATTAATGAAAGAAATGATGAATATTTTATGTAAAGTGTATTGATGAAAGTTATATAGCAGGCCTTTTTCCTCTATTTTGGCATGTATAGTCTACGTTAACTGCGGTATGTTGATCGATCGTATCCGGGAACGAGATATGGTGTCACCCCGGTACGGAATTAGACCCAGCCCGTTGTAGTCTAGAAAGTAGTTCTTTTAAATTTTGAAATGGCCTATTTCAAGTCATCTTAATTGATACTGGTTATATTTTAAGTATATCTTTAGTAATTGTGTACATATAGATTCATTTCTGAGTACTTTAAAGGTTGTTTTTTATGTATTTTTGCAGGATTTCATTTCTGGGTGGAAGGTTTCAGGAGGCACTATGCACAAGAATACACACCAGTTACTATTTGTAATATTCTATAGTGATTACAGAAATTAAAAGCTGCGGAAAAACTCCAAGGGCTAATGTATTATTTTTTTGTGCTAAATTTACTTGGACTGCATTGGTGTTTAAAGAAATGGTCATGAAGTTTCGGTACCGGATTTGCTTTGTCCAGAATTTAGCCTTAAATGTGATGGATTTACTATAGGATATATGGGTCGAAAATTCAGTGGGCCGTCTCCATATACACTGACCTATTTGCCAACCCAGTCAGGGTGCATGTAATAGATGATTTTTGTGAAGGCGTATTTTCTATCCAATAACATACTTTACCATTGAATAACATGTTGCTCAAAATGTATAACAAAAAATGTGCGTTGGCGCAGGTCTTTCAAATAAAATAAAAATATTTGAAAGACCGTGATTAGCGTATGAATGGAACAGCTATTGAATGGAAGCTTCTGCTTCAAAATCCTTTACGATACGATTTCACTAAGCAGGCGCGTTTGTCTGGGAATAGCTGTAAAACAAGTGTGTTAAGTGCAAGTTTATAGGTATAAAGATAAAAGCAAGTTAAAAAAAGACTAAAAGACTAAGATAAAAACAAAACTGACTTAAAACTGGTAGAAAGGATGCAGCTGCCCTGTAAAAAGCTCTAAACTGGGCCGCTTGTATATACATGTATAAGGACACGGGGGGGGGGTGGAGAAAATTAATTGGAGTGATGTTGTGTCCTTGAGAATGTTATAAAGTTGTTCAGGTTTCTAGCGGGCGGGTGTCAGATGGTAATGACCGACATAAGCTTGTGTAGGATTTTGTAGGGAATGGTAACATGTAGAGCTCAGCTGATATGTTGGCTTACAGACACTTCATCCCCCAGACACTTCACCCTAGGCCCTTTTTTGCAGACACTTCACCCCTCAGACAGTTCACCCCTCATTTTAAGAAATTTGATTGAGACACTTCACCCCTCATTTGTTTATTTTGTGTTTAACAATTATTTTTGTAGAGTATGTTAAATACATTCAATAGTGATTGAGTATGTTTATTGTTTTAAGCCATTGTCTAATAAATTTTGAGTTGATTTAATTCTTGAAGTTTGGGTACTTAATTAAGTTTTATTTCAGTTTGATCCTTACCATAAATAATCATTTTGTTACGGTCATTTGGTGATGGTTTGTGCTTTAACCTTGTGCTTAATTTACATAACTGGTGCTATTTATTTGTTTAATAAATGACATTATGAATGATCTTTGTATTAAATGCAGGATAATTGTTTACTATATTTTATAAACGCAACTGATTCATTCATTCATATTCATTTATATTCATTTTATTTATCTATTTATTTATTTAATTTATTTATTAAGAATAACTTTAATTTTCATACAATTATACCATTTTAATTCAATTATCTAATCAATTGTGAGATAACCGTTGAATAAACAACTAATCAACATGTGGAATAAACAAGGTGACATGCAATTAACACTTAATGGATGAAAGTGCTGTGATATATCATTTGGCAATACAACCAATTAACCTAAATCAGCTTTAAACTTAGTAAAAATAAGGTAATATGCAAAATTTTAATCAAATATACTGAAAATAATAAATATAAACATATATAGGCATTTTGTTGTTGACCAACTTGTTTTAATTACTTTATAGAACAAAATTGGATGAGGGGTGAAGTGTCTTACTGATTTTGGGGGGTGAAGTGTCTTAAGGGGTGAAGTGTCTTCAAAATTTGAGGGGTGAAGTGTCTGGGGGGTGAGGTGTCTTGCTACCGATATGTTTCGCCTCTGCGCTGATATGTTTCGCCTATGCATGCCAGGGCTTTTTTTCACTGGTTGGAGAAACAGTCCTGTCTTTAATTTTGGGGGAAAATTACACGGTATATTTGCAAAAGGGGAAGAAAAAAGTTGAAGTAAATTTAATTTTTTGGGAAAACTGCATGATTTTAAAGATTTTTTTCTTTGGGGAAGCAGCCTTATAATTGCCCCTGCTACAGAAGGAAAAAGCCCTGTCTGCTCTATATATATATCGAAGTTTTATATCTGAACACGAAAGCTGACCGTCTCCTCGTTCTTATCTTTATATTAACATAAATGCTTATTTTAAGAATGATTATTCGATTTATTTCAATTAAACATTTTAAATTTATCATAACTGATAAAACAACTGAATCAAATTACAATATATTTTTTGTTCTTGTGGAATTCCCTTAAAAAGTATATAGGCAAATATTAAGTTATTCAGCTAGGTTATATCTTTAAAACCTATTTGATGGAATGAAAGTACAAAAGTTGTAAGATATATCGAATTTTTGAAGATATTCACTGAATCACTGGAGCTATCATTTAGCCTTATTTAAAATTTATTCCTGATTACGTGTACCGTGAAATAGATTTTCTTCTGGTCGTGCGCGAACGGTATTTAGTCTCTTCTTAAAAAAGTCACGTGATAACGGCCTGTTCGTTTTCAGGAAACAAAAAACATCTCATTTTACGTTGTTCAAAAGATTCAAACACGAAAAAAATATTTCAAAATAAAGGTTTGTATATTTTTTATTAACCTTCCATCACGGATAATTGGTTATAATTTGTCTTTGTTCCTAATATTCGTCAAATTTATTTGGGTACGAATATCGACCCCAAATAAGATTTGATTCGTACTCAAAATATTTCAACATCGTTCTATTTTCTGTTGTTGTTTTTTTTGTTTTGTTATTTGTTTGTTTTAATTATTCTTATTATATTTGTAGAAGATTGGGACATTGATTTTCTGAATGTAAATGTATCGTTTAAAACTGCCTTGTTGTTTCAAATATATCTTTAACAAATGAGAGAGAGACAACTCCTGTTGCTGTTAATAAATATTTTTGTTCTAAGAATGTCATCAGTTGAACGTGTTAGAAGTTTAAAGTTTATTACGGAATGCACAGACAGTTGGGGTGTGGAGCTCAAAACCCCTTTAAAACCCAAAAAATATGTATCCCAGCACATGTACTGATCACAGGGCCAAAACATCATTTTTGGGGAAGGGGCCTCAGCCTTTTTCTTGGGGAAAATATGCGTGATTTTGTCATACTTTTGAAAAAGGGGTCCCAAATTTAACACAAACTTTTAACAAGTCAGGGCCCTCAATCCAATTTGGGGGAAGTGGGTCGCTACCCTCAGTTGGGGAAATTTTAGTGTTCCTCTTTTCTTTTATGATCAAATATCAAATAAATTTACTTAGATATAAGCTGTTTTTTTATTTACATGCATATTATTTTTTTTAAAAATCCCAAATAGGTAAAACTAAACCGTTCAGAGGTGATTGATAAGATTTGAAGAAAAGTTTTTAACACCTTACACCATCAGACCTTTATGCTGCTTAGCTTTCTTTTTTTATGATTCATTCTACCCCCCCCCCCCCCCCCATGAGCATCGTGAAACACATTCAGGCAATTATCTCCATTTCCACTAATATGAACAATACATGGACCTAAAGTAAATTCTATTCATAAACTACATTTCTAAGATAAAGAATAAGACAAAGCTTTCTTTTCTTGACTTTGTAAAACAATCGTAAAAATCGGCATCACGAAAATATGTGACAAATGAAAATTTTTTTGTTTTCTGGTTACACATCTACATTTCTAGTTGTTGCTGATGTAAATTATATAAAATTAAATTTATTGTTTATTATAAGATCGTTTTCCATCAGTTATTTCATCAATTATCATGAAAACAAAACTTACAACTTGGGGACCTTACGCCGCTTTTCATGGAATGGCGCGGAAGTGTCACATTGAAGGTTCCATGATAACCGCCGTATGAACACATCTGCGGATGTTTCTAAATTCAAAAATTTTACTATTTCATGTTTAAATGTTGAATTCTGCTTAAGCCGGTGCTAGGGGGCGTGGACGGTAACTTGCACTTTCCAGTACCGTCCATGAACAGGCTCAATCAAACCGAGCCTGCAACATTTTCAATTTTGTCGTGTTGGGCTTTCTTTAGGGATTCTGTATTTATCCTATTTTACAAGTTTGTAATTTACTGTGGTTGATGTAACATTTTGAAGACAAAAAAATGATTTCATGAATAAACAATTTAAAATCGAATTGTTGATGGGAATTGTGATTTTTTTTCTGCATATTTCTGTTGAAATTTTAGCATTTTTACAGGATAAAAGGCCAATATGTGACGGTAGATTTTGGAGGGGGGTGGGGTGGGGAAACAAACGGAAACGTGCAGACATGTACTGTATACAATATTCCCCTTACAAAATAGGCGTCAAAAGATGGATTTTACTTTTCAAAAACAACATGAGTTTTCATTTTATATGTTTTGAGGGGGAATTTTTCCCTCTGTTAGGGGAAAAAACATACTATTTTGGTGGGGGACTGCGACCGATTATCGGCCGCAGATTTGGTTGATCGAGGGCCCTGCAAGTTCTTCAAAATAGAAAAGCAAAAAGCACTGGGAAATACTAATAAGGCAGTAGAAGACCTTAATTCAACACCATCATTTAATTTTGTTCTAAATTCTATAGGAAATTTCAAAAGACTGGGGAATTTTGAGGACCAAACTGGGGAAAAAAAGAGGCTATATTCGGCCTCTACAAAGAAGGGTTTTTTGGCCCTGGATCATATATATCAGAAAAACTTAATATAAGCAATTTTGAAAAAAATACATATTTGTCAACGTCTATATAATAATACACAAGATAAAAAAGTTCGCCAGAAAAAATCCACACACTTACCGTCAAAATCACCATGTATTTTATTCCATTTCTAATATTTTCACTTTTAAACTTCAACTTCAATATAAACAACGCAACAGGCGATAATCTTGATGTTTATTTCGTCCGTTGCGTTGTTTATATTTATATACAAGTGGTATATTTAAATTTTAATACTTCTTTTATCATTCATAAATTACAAGCAAGAAAAGGAGAATTTTAGATATGTGACTGTAGACTTATTTTACACTTACAGGATGTCTGGCTCTAAAGTTTATGTTGGAAGATTAGCAAGCGACACAAGAGAAAAAGATGTCGAGAGATTCTTCAAGGGTTATGGAAGACTTCGGGATGTTTCAATGAAAAACGGATATGGTTTTGTGGTAAAAAACAGATTTTACATAACACTTAGATTGATTTAATGTCAAGATTTGATAACGATATATAACATTGGCTGGCCTTTATTTATATTAGTTATCAGTTACGATAAGTGATAATGATAAATTTGAAAAGTGCTTTATCTACTCGGTGAAAAAAATATATGAAAATTTGATTTTAAAAACAAAGTTTTCAGTCACATTCCCCTGTGCAACAAACAGATAATCATAAAAATGTGGTGCCATTTTTAAAGTCTGAGTCACTTTATTTGATTGGTTGCATATCCAAGACTGGCTTGGTAATTGTTGACCTTTAGCTTCAGTGCTTTCCTTAAAACTACATTTAAGATAAGCTGTTGTTTCCTTGAGCAAGAAACTAAACTTGGTGTTCTGTACTGGTTGATTCCAGGAACAGATTCGAGAGTGTGTCCATATTTCAGTGCATTTATGAAACAACTATAAATTATAATTTGTGTTTTAGGAATTTGATGACCCTAGGGATGCTGATGATGCTGTCTATGAACTTAATGGAAAGGAACTTCTTGGTGAAAGGTAAAATGATTTCATGCCAAGTTCTTAGAATATTTAAGTAATTGGGGGCGTTTTGTACCTAAGTGGTAAATGTTGTTGACTTCAAACCACTTGCCCTCTGACTTCAGATCTCCTCTAGGACTTTAGATTTTTTCATGTGCGGAAGCTATCCAGCCAAGTAATGGAGTCGATGGTTCTACCCAGGTGACCGTCTGTGCCTGAAATAATTCATTGAGGGGTATTTGAAGTTTTTCTCCACCAGAAAAGCTGTCATATGACCTTTACTGTGTTGGTGCGACATAAACCCAACAAAAATACGGGGGCGCGGGGAAGAGAATTAAAGTTTTCAAATGAACAATGTAGTATGAAATAAACCTCAGCGTTGACAATTTATGAGATATATTAAGCGAAATAGAACATGTAGAGGTTAACTTAAGTAAAAATTATTTCGCTTAGGAAAGTTTTGATAACCGTTATTGACTTATTTGTACAGTGTCTTCTAGGAATCGAATAGTGGGGGATTTTTATCGTAAGATGATAATTTATTTGTTGATCTTTTTCCTTCTTTTTCTATGTAAAATTTTCCCCCTGCCTTTGAAAAAATAGGGGGGAATTCTCATAAATTTCATATTAGTGAATCCCCCACATCCGCCCTCCTATAATAGACACTGTAAGCTTTTAAACATAAAATGTTTCTAGTTTGACTCGTGGGGCTACCCTACTCACTAGTGTGTTGGTTAAAGTTTTCAATTTGTTTATATTATTACAGGTTAATCATTGAGCATGCGCGTGCATCTCGAGGACGTGGTGGCGGTGGTGGATTCAGAGGTGGTGGAGGTGGAAGATTCGGGGGCGGTGGTGGTTACGGTGGGGGAGGGTATGGGGGTGGTGGTGGTAGATATGGTGGGGCGGCGGCGGTGGCAGAGACCGGTATGGTGGTGGTGGTGGACGCGACGGATACCGCAGTGATAGAGGAGGAGGAAGGTTAAATACGTACTGATACTTTTAGATTTCTTTGATAAAAGTTTTGATATGTTAAAATCTATTTATATTTATAATGTTTTGATAAGTACTAGTTCTTGAATCTTATTAGATCACACTTTGTTATACCTACATGTCTATATGTATACAGCTGACAATTTATGGTCAGCATTTTTTAATCACAAACATTGAAAGGGTTTAAATCCAACCAGGAACTAGAGAAAGCTTTTATGTGTGGAAGCTATCAAAATCATTGGGTCAAATGGAGAGCAATACAATTCATTATACACAGAGTGATTTAAGCTCCTTCTTAACACAGAAGAGGGAGGTCATATGGCGATTTCTCAGCTTTACTGTGGAAGGAAGACCTCAGGTGCCCCTCTGTGCATTATTTTAGGCATGGGAGAGCACCTGAGAAGAACCGTTGATGAAGCAATCCAAAGCCTCTGACGGGATTCGAACCAACAGTGGTGAAGGACAAGTGGTTTGAAGTCAACGACCATAACCACTCTGTCATGGACAACTTGCGCTTACAAAGGCCTACAATTTACTAAGAGATATTTCAAGAATTTCATGAAGGGAATTGTAATGTTATATATACATTATGTTTGTACTTGTAATCCATTGTAGATATGGTCCACCACAGAGAACAGACTATAGATTGAGAGTAGAAAATCTGTCATCACGTGCCAGTTGGCAGGTAGGGACAAAATTTTCATGTTGATTTTGCCAATATTTTATGCTTGGTAATTTCATTTGCATTTTGTTTCATCTTTAGTGAGGCAAACTTTCAGTTAAAGGAAGTTAAATTTTTAGGTGTTTCAGTGTAGGTAATCTGTTTGAAATGGATTCCAGCATGTTCGTTAAAGGTGATGCCCAATTACTTTACAGGAAAAACAAAATGCAAATATTTACTCCATGAATACTTTCAAGGGGCCTCAGAACCTGAGAAGTAAAAGTTGCTTTCTTTGAACCGCTTGCCCCTCATATCTGTGGGTTTAAATACCAACAGAAAGTTTTGATACTGTCATGAGGAAGCTATCCAATTAGCAAACAAAGGGCTATTGGTTAGAGTTGGGTGCCTGTTTATATCTGACTGAAATAATGTATGGAGGGGCACGTGAGGTCTTCTTACTCTGAAAAGTGGGAAAAATTGTCATACAACCTTTTTAGTGCTGGTATGATGCAAACAAATCAAAAATAGAAACATTTGTGTATTATACCAGATAGCATCAAGGTATAAATTTAGTTATGTCTTGAGACCATTATAATAAATGCACTCTGCTGAATTGGTGAAAATATGTGTAAATCAAGGATTTTGTTTTTCCTGTAAAAGTTGGGTTATACATCTGCTTTTGATTTTTGGAGGCAAAGAAATAAAAAATCATTTGAGAGGTCATATTTTGCTCCAGTGTTCCCATTGGATTGGTAGCAAAATGATCTTAACAAGAAAAAAAAAGATAAAAAACTTGATAAATATTGATGGTAAAATGAATTCTAATCTATTAATGGTTATAGATTCATGGTTAAACAACTAATTTGGAAGACTATGAATTTAATTGTCATACCTTCCTATTTTATGTTCATATTTCCAACTACCTTACATATATAACCAGAAACCCCAATCTTACGACAGCATGTTAAATATTTCCATGGCTTTATTTGTTGTTTTGACTATTTATTTATTTTTTGTCATTTTGAAATTTTTCGAAACCCAAGGGGAGGTAAAAAACTTGACTTGTGTTCATTTCTCTTGTGCATTATGTAATTTTGTTTTGTAACTTGAATATTTAACACATTTCAAATTTTCAAAGAGAATTTTTGGCCATAATATGATGGTTATATAGCGAAGTATGTATTGTTGACTGATTTAGTACAATGTGTTTTATTAGGATTCTAAGTATATTGTCTCCAGTTAAGTATACTTTCTTTTTATTATCGCTCAATAGAGATATTTGTGTTAGTCTGATCAGTCCCTTGCAAATTGTGGCTATGCTTCAATGACACGAAGAATTATGTTGTTTCTGAAAGCACACTCTAATTGTATAACAGACATCATTATTATATGATCTAAAAATATCAGCAATTACATTTGTCCAAATGATATTCACTGACTGAATTAGATTTCCAGATCTAAAAATAGAATAGGATTCATACCCAATGATAGTAGTCAGGAAGGAGAGCATGTTACGCCCCACACCAAACAATAGCAGGCCTCGATGAATTTTTTCTAGGGTCACTTCTGGCAGGGGAAGTGGTCCTTCAAATTTACTCGCCCTTCTTAAAATGTACTTGCCCTGCATTTTGAGGGACAAAATTTGTAAAAATCAAACAAAAAGACTCAAATTTACTAATTACCGGTCTGTATCGGCACAACAAGGAGTTAATTCAGCATAAAACATAGCATATAATGTTCATAGAAAAATGTGAATTATGGTATATGATCCTTTCTCCATTATCAACAGGGTAAAAAATCATGACAAAAATAATAGAACCAGTAATATATTTCATTTGACATGTAAAATATGATATGCTTGTACATGTAAATATTAATACATTCTTCAAAAATAATAAAACCAGTAATATTTTTCATTTGACATGTAAAAAATAAGATAGTTTGTAAATATTAATACATTCTTAAAAAATAATAGAACCAGTAATGTTTTTCATTTGACATGTAAAAAATAAGATAGTTTGTAAATATTAGTACATTCTTAAGCACTTAAATCATTTATTTTAATGCTTTATTTTTATGTGATCTTATATCCTAAGCCAATCAAAGGAATGTAAAAAAAAAAATAAGAATAGTATTGTCTTAATCTTATATAAAAAGGTGGGTATATGAAAAATGTTCACATAATTAGGGTAAGACTTTGAAGAAAGAGTTTCCCAAGAAGCAGAAAGTTGTGCATTAATCTATAATGTAAAAGTGACATATAAATAATGACAAAAGATCGATCATTATTTTGTGGTGTTCTCTTTTACTTTGCAGGGAATATATTTGGTTATTTGAGAATCTCTGTCAAGGTCTTGTATTATCTCAAGGAGTCTGTGTCTCACAGTTGGCAAGCTAATATCTGTATCACACAAGGCTAGATTAGGGGGCAATATATTGGGCACGAGGGAGCCGATAACTTGGTGGCCAGCCATTTTGACTTCTCTCTTTCTCTTAGACGAAAATACTTGCTGTACACAATAATAGCAAGCCATGAAAATGTCAGAATGGTCAGTCAGCCTGTACACAAAAATAGCAAGCCATGAAAATGTCAGATTGTCAAGCCAATATCTCTGATTGTGAAGCCAATCTCTGATTGTGAAGCCAATATCGGGATCAGGTTGAATGCTAAATATATCTCTCTGGTATGCAGCTTTTCTCTGTTGCCGGGTTCTTGCTCACAGTTGATAATTCTATAAAAGTCCTTAGCAACGAGTGCTAGACAAATCTCTGCAATAGCCTAGGGATGCTCAAAAGTAAGAGAGGTAATTCATTTAACACCTTTTTTTTTTTTCGTGCTGGACGAAGAAAACAAATTTTTTTATGCTTTTTTATCATCATACTTATTATATGTGTAAGTGTTTAGAAATTTTTTCATAAAAAAGCATGTGAATTTCAATATTTTACATGTGTGAGATGTTTTCTTTGATATTTAAGTTTAAGAAATTTAAAATGTTAATATATCAATAATATATCTTGTGTTGAGAAATATATTAAGATTACAGCAGATTTTTGGTTTTATCCTGAATCTCTGCTCCTGCTTTCTTGATGTTTGCAGCTATAGAATGGTAGATGGCAGTTCCAGTGAAATTAAGAAATCACAAGGTATTTTTGAAAGAGATCGCTTTATGGTAACTTGTAAAAAAGTTGTATAGAAATGTTGATGTTTTGCTATTTATAGGATCTGAAAGATCATATGAGGACTGCGGGTGTTGAAGTTTCGTTTGCCGACGCTCACAAGCAAAGAACCGGTGAAGGGTAGGTTAAATTTGTTTTAAAAAATGTTAAGCTCTAGATAAGGTACTCTGTGGCAGAAGGGTTGAAATTGCTGGCTTCTAATCACTTGCCCCACACCGCTGTGGGTTGGAGTCTCATCAAGGACATTCGGTTCTTCCATGTGAGGAAGCTATCGAGTTAAAACTATCATAACATGGCAAAAAAAAAAGCTAGCCAATGGAAAGTTTGGTAGTTCTACTTGGATGCCACTTGAGCCTGAAATAATGCATGGGAGAGGTCCTATATAGTTGATGAATTAAAGCGTCGTGCCTCCAGATTAATGAAAATTGAAGACTTGGGTTAAAATGAATCTGTACTCAAGAGTTAATGGCAAGTGCAAAATCTTTATGTCCCTTAGCAGGAGCTTAAGCATTATCTAATCTTCAACTCTTCATGTAAAATATTGAAACATTGGTTCTGATAAACAAGAAATATGTAATTTGACAGAATTCTTTTTGGTTTGAAAACATTTTTAGTTTGGTGATTTCTAAGATTTGGCTTAAACATATTATTCAACATAACATTTAACATGTGAACAATATTTACAAAATACATTTTGGGATTGGGCAGAAAGTTATAAAGCTTATGAGTGTAAGATTTTACTTTGTAATTGACATAGTATGGTTTACTTTTAGTGTCGTGGATTGTGCTACAGAATCGGACATGCTCCGAGCCCTGGAGAAACTCGACGGTATGGACATTAATGGTAAAAAGATCAGACTGGTGGAAGAGAGAGGTGGTAGCAGCAGTGGAGGCGGAGGACGTGACCGAGGCCGAAGAAGGTAAGATGTTTATTATATAACATTATATCAACCTTTATACTAGTCTTACAAATTTCCATGTCTTATTGTTCCCTTTACATGTATTATTATTATCTGTTACTTATTGTATACAAAAGTTGTGATTGTTACTAAATCATATGTATTCATACACAGGTTCTATGTTCTACTTCATGATAAAATTTGTTTTTGTTGTTGCTTTTTTCTTGCCAATTATTATATGAAGTTCAAGTTCTTACTTTGGCAATATATTATATCAAAGAAGACAGAACGTCTGTGGATGTACTCGGGTGCCCGTATGAGCCTGCAATAATGCATGGAAGGGCGCCTGAGGTCTTCCTCCACCAGTAAAGCTGGAAAGTGGTAATATTACCTGTACTGTGTTGGTGGGACTGAAAACCCAACCAAAAAATATTTTTTTAGAGCTTCCTAGATGTTATTTACTATCGGCTTCCTGCAAACCTTTGTACAAGATAGAAGTCTTTAATATTGTACTTATTCCTTTATTTGAATAAATTATATTTTTCAGTCGCTCCAGGAGCAGGAGTCGTTCAGACAGTCGATCTAGGTCAAGGTCAAGATCCAAGAGTAGGTCAAGGTCGAGCTCCCCGCCACAGGAACGCTCACGTAGAAGATCTGGCGACGAGCCGGAAGATGATTGACAAATTAAATGTTAACTCTACAAAATACAATGTTTTTATAATGTGTTTAGTTATGACGAATATAGATAAAAGATGGACCAATCTTATTTGTAAGGCTTGTAATTCTATTGTTTTTGTGCATAATAAACTAATTTTGGTATGAACTAATAATTTCTTAGAAATTCTCCTGTAATTTTTCTAGATTGTAAGGTCCATGTACGAGACAGTATGTTAATACTTAGAATACTTTCATATTTCTTTGCGTCCATTTGTTAGTTTAAAAAAAAATCCCTATAATTCATCCATCAATGTCTGTAATATTTTTTAATATTTTAAGTAAGAATTAGAAAAAAAATATCAAAAAATGATTTTGAATGTTAGATAATTAGCTAGTTAGAGAAGATCAGGAAATAGATAAGAAATAATCCAATCTACACACTTTTGTCAAATTAATTTCTTTAGTGCTAACTGTATTCATTGTCAGCCTTCAGATACATTTAACACATTAGATATCTTATAATTATGAACTTGTTCATCTTTAATCATACTGAAATTTTCAAAATTTTAAATTACTGACTAGCCAACAGTGCAGACCATGCTAAGACAGTGGGGATGTGTCGGCTGATCTTGGCTGGCTCTGGTCACATGTGTAGAATTGGGGGCTGCCACCAGGTTAACTGTATAAGGCAAATTACAAATTAAGCTTGGTCAAAAGTGTGATACCTTAAATTTGCAATCGTTTATAATTTGTCTTGAAAAGTGACTTTTATATTTTGAGACTTTATCCTTCAATTCATGCAAAACAATTTTTTCAATTCGCATACAGCAATTATTTTAATCAGGTCCTATTATTATTTGTAATGGATATTTGTTATAGATAATGAAACATTGCATTAGAATAATGTCAAACTTTGTGTGAACATGTACTCTGTTCACGTTTGCATGATATCACTCTTAATTATCATAATGTAATTGTAATGTACATTGTACATTAAGATTTAAAAGTACTCTGATAATTTTCAAGATATGTTTCAGTTATTACTTCATTATTTTTTTTGATGCTACAAAAATAGTGAACATTTCCGTTATGTAAATGCTATCCTAAGTTTGAACAAAGATTTGTGTGCCATGTCCTGATTTGTCGATATTCTTATCTATTACTGAAGACTAAAAAAATGTAAAAAAAAATGGAAAAATAGAAATGAAAAGTAAATTTTGTTCACGTATCTGTAAAATCATGAACATTTTATATCATGTTAAATCATCTTTGTGTGGTGTCATCATTTAAATAAATCATTGAAATCTTAAAATAGTTGTTTGTTCTGAAAATAAAATGAGCCGCATCATGACAAAACCAACATAATGGGTTTGCGACCAGCATGGATCCAGACAAGCGCAGGCTTGTCTGGATCCATGCTGGTCGCAACCCATAATGTTGGTTTTTTGATCAGACTGCATGGATGCGCAGGCTGGTCTGGATCCATGCTGGTCGCAAACCCATTATGTTGGTTTTGTCATGACGCGGCTCAAATATCTCGAGTTTGTAACACTCTTTAGCAGTTTTATGATAAAGGAAAATGTTAACAGCCTATATTGGGATGTCCGTGGCTGAGTGGTTTTAAACCACTTGTTTGATGTGTGTTCGAATCCTGTTTGACTGAAGCTATCTAGCTAGTTTACAGAACGTTGATGGTTCTACTCTGGTGCCTGTTTGTGACTAAAATAATGTGTAGAGGGGTGCTCGAAGGAAAGCTGGGAAGTGGACTCGGGGACCTATAATGTATTGGTGCGACGTAGAAAAGATTATAGACAAAATAAAAGACCAATGACGATGTTTCGTTTCCATTAAAGGCACATTTAGCTTCAGAAATGAGCCTTTTTTGTCTTTTCTATAGAAAGGAAAGTGCAAACATACGTTTTTTTTATATTGTTAAATGGATTTAGAAAATCCTTGATACTTATCACCTGAGAAGAAAAGCGCTGAATGTGAATTTGTCACAAAGATTACAGCAAAATGTAAACAAAGTGATAGTTTATCATCTATTCACTCTATCTGTTACTTGCTAAAACTTATCAAGAGGCAAAACGTCATTAATCTATATGGCATACAAGTTACATGTACTTTGGCGACGGGATACTAACAAGACACCAAAAATTAAAAAAAAATTGAAATATTGTTTTTGCTGAGACCTAAGTAGTATTATGCCTTAACGTGAGCCTACTCCTGAATTGTAAAAATCTTGATTCACTCTACCAACAGTGAGAGAACTCGGTCGTGATCTTGAGAGGAAAGGAGAACCCATAATCTGTGTTTAGAGGCAGATTTATGAACCACTGCTACTTGCTCTATCTTTACTTCCACTTGATACTAGGAACAACCAGCGAAAGGCTGCTGTCTGGGAAAACCTTATAAGCTTAAAAATATATAACAAGGGTACATTGGTTAAAAACAGTGCAAATATTAAAGTATTATTTTAAATGCCAAACTTTTTCATAAGACAGACTGGAATTGGATATAACCCGGGTGGCTATTCAAGTAGTGGATAGCTCTGAAGGAAAGACAGTAGACATGGTCACCACAATGTGTTTGCTCTGAGTCGGTTATTCTGCTTTTTTAGCTCGACTATACGAAGTATATGGAGAGCTGTCCTACTCGCCCCGGCGTCCGCGTCCGCGTCCAGATTTTAGATTAAAGTTTTGGTGCAGTAAAATATTTTTCACTATAACTTTGTCATTTCTTAAGGTATCAACTTCAAACTTCAAATTTATGTTCCTTATCATCAACCACATCTTATGTGACAAGGTTCATAACTCTAGCACCAATATTTTCAGATTTATCTCCCCTTGAACTTAGAATTTTCCTTAAAAAAAACTATTTTTTACTGTTACTTCTTTATTTCTTAAGGGATCAACCTCATACTTCAAATATATGTACCTTATCATCATCCCCATCTTATGTGACAAGGTTCATAACGCTAGCACCAATATTTTCAGATTTATCTCCCCTTGAACTTAGAATTTTCCTCAAAAAATACTATTTCTTACTGTTTCTTCTTAATTTCTTAAGGGATCAACCTCATACTTCAAATATATGTACCTTATCATCATCCCCATCTTATGTGACAAGGTTCATAACTATAGCACCAATATTTTTCAGATTTATCTCCCTTTGAACTTAGAATTTTCCATTAAAAATATTATTTTTTACTGTTACTTATTTATTTCTAAAGGGATCAACTTCATACTTCAAATATATTTACGTTATCATCATCCACATCTTATGTGACAAGGTTCATAACTCTAGCACCAAGAATTATCTCCCCATAAACTTAGATTTTTTTACTAGAAAAATGTTATTTTTTATAATAATTTTTTTATTTTTAAAGGTATCTACCTCAAACTTCAAATACTTATTCCTTATCATCAATTACATTTTATGTGACAATGTTCATAACTCTTGAAGCAATATTTACAGATTTATCTCTCTTTGAACTTAGAATTTTCTTTAAGAAATATAATAACTTCTTTACTTTTTAAGGTATCTACTTCAAACTTCAAATATATATTTCTTATCATTACACAAATGTTGTGTGACAAGGTCCATAACTCTAGCATGACTATTTCTAGAATTATTCCCCTTGATCTTGGAATTAATGTTAACAAATGTTATTTTTTTACTATAATTTAATACATAATTATACATAATTGATTTTTCTTTCATAGTTTTGTCCTCCTTACTGCGTCCAGTATTTTATTAGTCGAACTTCGCTGTCTCCTGTGACAGCTCTTGTTAAGTCCAATATTTGGGGGAAAGTCGCCATATGACCTTCACAATGTTGGTGCGACGTTAAACCCGCCATTCACCCCTCCCCATTTAAATCATAATTTTATGAAACATAAGACATTAGTTTTCAATTGCTTCATTAATATAAAGTTTAGGAAGAAGGAAAAAGATTCAAGTCTATGATGAATTGGTTAATTATGAACGTTAATTGCGTGAACAATAAACTACCGGACTTCTCCAGTACAAACCGGATTTCCTAGTACATGTTGATGATTACAACAATCATCTAAAACATCCGCCTGTGTTTCTTTAAGTGTCTTTGTTTTAGTTTTACTTGTTGATAAACAAAATACAAATGAAAATGTAAACGTGGCCTTTATAATTATTTCTAAAAATAGCACGCATTTACACCTGAACACGTATATCGTAAAAATTTTTTAATACGATATGAACACGCTTCAGCACGGTGTAAATGAAATAGTGACAGTAAACTGTAAAAAACAACAGTTAAGATTTTTTTATCTCAATATTTATTCTTTAAACATGTGTTATGATCATGTTTTGCAACTCCTCTCGACTGATGCTGAATAATCTTAACGCGATTACGTCCCTTGCATTGTATTGCGTTGCATATAGCCGTTAATTAAGTTACATTATTAGATCTTGATGAATGAAAGACAATTAACGCAATTAAGTTGTGTCGTCGGCCTCGTAAAATAATGAAGAAGAAGATGAAGAAAAAAAAAACCGTACGCACCTGATGAATTGGCTTAATGTAAATAAAAAAATAACAAGACTTTTAAAAAAGTTATGTTTATCCGCATCAATGTACGTAAAATTGACGTACGTTTTTGTTTCCAGGACGTATTTTCAATTCACAATAAATTACTTTTTTATTATTATTTTTTTTTATAGAAGAACGCATTGCAAGAGAAATGTCGTGCAGTCGAAGTGGTATCTCAAACAATGTGAACGAGTTTACATTAGATTTGTACAATGAGATAGCGACATCACAGCCAACTAACAAGTTTTCATGTCTCCAAGTGGCTTGATGCTTGTAATGGCAATGTTGCATGTCGGGGCGGGAAGAAACACGGAAAAGCAAATGGCCAAAGTATTAAAACTAGAGAAAATTGAAAATGATACATTGTTCTGCGACATGGAACAATTCATTAAAAAATTAAGAGAAGGTAACAATTCAGTTCAGTTGAAAACGGCTAACAAAATTTATCCAAATTCCAAAAATGTTGTATACGATGATTATATTAAACAACTAAAGGAACATTTTCACTCCGAGGTACAACATTTAGACTATTATTTTCAATCGAAGAAATCAATAAACATTATAAATGAATGGGTAGAACAAGCAACAGGTGGTAAGATAAAGGGTTTGGTTTCACCTGATCCAGTCAACCCACAAACAGCTATGGTTGTAGCCAATGCTATTTATTTCAAAGGCGGATGGAACGGTCCATTTGATCCGAAGGATACAACTAAAGGTGATTTCTTTATCAACGATAAAGAAAACGTCCAAGTCGATATGATGATGAAGGAATTAGATTATGAAGATATTGGATATATAGATGACGAGGAATTAGACTGTAAAGCGATTGAACTAACATACACCGGTCAAGATATAGGACTGTTATTTTGTTACCAAATAAAAAAGATGGTCTCGGAGCAATGGAAAAGAAACTAACAACGGATGTGCTGAAGCAGTTAGTAAAGAAGTTGGACCCAAAAACGACCATTGTGATAGTGAGCATACCAAAGTTCAAACTTGAGACGGAATATGACATGAAACAAGTCTTATCATCCTTAGGCATGACTGATTTGTTTGATAAAGAAAAAGCAGACCTGTCAGGAATGGGAAAAGACCTGCATGTTTCAGGTGTTTTCCAGAAATCTTTTATAGATGTAAATGAAGAAGGGACAGAGGCGGCTGCTTCAACATGGGACGGCGTTATGGTTTTAAGTGACGATCCATTACCTCAATTTCAAGCAGACCATCCATTCTTCTTTATGATTTGGGATCATAGGCTAAATGTACCGCTATTTTTTGGACGTTTAACTAACCCTTATGCTTTATATCCATCCGATCTGTAGACTGATTGTAAACAAACCAGAAAAGGCATTTAAAAAAAGAAGACACCACGCTTTTGATAATATCTTAGAGGTCGGTCTTCTAAACCGGTTCTCCTTGATAACTAAACAGAAATTACCATTTTCTTTGCAAGTGGTCTACTTCTAATACTACATGATTTCTGAATCAGTGGCGAAAGACAAATACCAATAACAGTCAATGTCAAAGATCAATTGACAACAACATTTGTTCGTGCATTAATCAGAGGAGTTGTTATAGATGCATGAACGTATTTAAGAAGTTCGATACTTTGTTTCTAAGAAGCAACCGTAATGTGTCCAACATGGTTTGTAGAAGCTATTGTGGTATCGGTTTGGATCGATGTAAAAAAGCAATTAGAATAAAGAAAGACCATTAATAATTCACAGGTACATATACTCGTATATTGAAAAACAAACCACTGAAATTGCATTAAAAGCAGTATATTTTGTTTTTTGACCGACGGAGAAAGAAAAAGAAAAGCATCCATGGCAATTCCTGATATACAGTATAAGGTAGTTTGACTTAAAAGGCACGGTAGAAAATGTGTAGTTGCGGATGGTGATTTAACCGTGACTTAACTAGGAAAGTAAAGCTTTGCAAGATTTTAACTACTGGAGTGCTAATAGTTCCATTAATTTATATTCATGTAACCTTTAATCTTTTATTGTTTTCTATGAATTTGTACAGATCGCATTATACCTGTTGAACACTCTGAAATATATCCGTTAGCAGTCCAGATAATATTGTTGACTTAAACACTCTTGTGTCTTTTCTTTTTTTATCCGCATTTGTGAATGACTAAAAGAATACATATAATATCTGCATCAAATACAATATTGTAAGGGAAAAAGTACAAATCAAATAAATCTAAAAACATGGTTACTACTGAAGTTGTTCTTTCGACAACGTTGTTCTGTATCATGCAAATTTAGTAACACACCTGTATTACACAACAAATAATTTGTGTCTGTCTGTTTCCTATGAAATCTGGTTCTGATATAGATGAACAGATGAAGGGAAAATAGAGAAAAACAAAATCCTTTTAGAAAGCCCAACACGGCAAAATTGGTAATTTTGCAGGCTCGGTTTGATTGAGCCTGTATATGAACGGTAATGGAAAGTGCAAGTTACCGGCCACGCCACATTCGCAGATGTGTTCATACGGCGGTTATCGTGACACAATCGTGCTATTCCGTGAAAACCGGCGGATGGTACCCAAGTAAAAGAATGCGTGTGCCCTAAACGAGAAGACAATGGGCGGAATAAATAAAATGGATTTTTGAAAGGGGATCTGAGGTTATGAATCCTGCATACCACAGAAAAGACGTCGAAAGACAATTTTAAAAAGCATACACGCACACATTGATACTCTTGAAGTCTGACAACAAGTTAATTCCTTTTACCTGCAAATCATGTTATTAGTGATAGTGGTGTTTTTTTTTTTAAGTAATCGATTATAATTATCTCTAATGTTCATTCAGTTAATTATTTCCTTTTTAGAATGTATATCTATATTGCATCAAATATAATTCTAATTGAACCACACACATTATATAAAAAGCTTCATGTCGGTTAAAACCAACTTCATTTCCGTATTATGTATAGTTATGAAAGCAGACGACACGTGGTTTAATTACAATGTTGGCAACAACACCACGTCTTTCAAAATCAATGATATTAATTTACTTTCTTTGATATATTGATTATTGTATCTATATTTAACACTTGACGGATTATATAATTGTCTCCAAAGTCAGATCGATAAGTCAAAGCGTTCATCTGTTATGCGACAGCAATCAGTGTCCGATATTTAAGTCAAAAGATTAATCTTCTTACAACATTGAATGCATAGTTGCATCATAGCTCATACTTATTAATTTGTTCAAGTCGCGTGGAATGATATGGGTATTCTGCCGTGGGAGCAAGGCTTTTATTGTCACAGAAATAACCTTTTTGTCATATATACCGGTATAGTAAAGATCGTTATACGTGAACCTTATAAAATTGACATTGGTAACCATGTTGATGTTTTATTTATAGCACTGTGATTTTGCAAGCTTGTAGAGAGAATGTGTACTTATTCTTTAAGATAGCTCTTTTCCTTTTTTTAATTAAACATATCTCAATTAAAGTATGGAACTAAATATGATTTCGATTTACATGTTTGAATATTCATGAAGTGCTTGCCTATTGTTTGATTATACATTTATAATCAAATACTTCCTCTACTGTAATGATTTAAAGTACTACATGCAATATAAATTTTACGTCATAATATAATGTCAGAAAGATTCAAAGTAATACTTTATTACTCCGAAATGATTTATTTTAATGTTTTGAAATTGTATTAATGTATTTGAAATAAGTTTGTTCCTTGCTTGACTGCAGTAAATAATGACACCAGTTTAAGCTGTTCATCATAATGATAAGCTTTTTCATTTGTCGTGATTTACACAGAAGTTAAAATGAATTATAGGCTTCGAACAATTCTATCGAAATTGCCAGCATCAAGTCCGCAAAGGTACATCTGTAAGACACACCCCGATTTGATTGCTGAATAGTGAAATGATTCTTGTTTGTGTCTTCTATAGTAGTACACATGATTACGTTAATCCTTAAATTAGAAATATTGCCACCAGTAAAGAGTCAGGTCTGTCTGCAAACCCAAACTATATATTTTGGACAGCTCAGTTTATTGTACTTTGATATTTAAATCCCTTAAACTTCAGAGAAAGCAAGGCAAATTCATTGTACAAGTTCAGCAGGCTTATGGTTAATTTAAATAGATATACCCGTACAAAACTATCTAATATTCATTTACAGTTTTTCATATGAACTTGTGAATGCCAAAGAATGGTGGAGTGGTTAATTTCGTTGTCTTCCAACCACTTGCCCCTCTCCATTGTGAGTTATCATCTCGCTATGGACTTGGATTCGCTCATGTGAGTAATCTATCCAGCCTGTTTACGGAATGTCAGTGGTTCTACTCAGATGCCCGTTCAAGCCTGAAATAATGCACAGAGATGCACCTGATTTAGTTCATTAAGATATTAAAATATTACATGAGTCAGCCCGGATGCACAATCATTTCCCTCTGTTGCATTTGTCTACAGCGTTTGTTATGTTACCATTAGACATGCAATTATCATGTCAATTTCAGAGTTAAAGATGTGACGGCTTAATCATTGGCAAAACCAAAATTAATTTAACTAATAACTATAGAGTGCAATTTATGCCCTCAAATCTTTACAAACACATCGATTGCGACTGATTTACTGATCAATAGATAACTAAAATAATGCTTAGTGAGATAAACACATTTTAACGAAACTGATGCGTCTAGAAATATCACCTGAAAACAAGAAATATGTTGAAATATGTTGAAAATACTTACAACTAAAATTGGAGTTGAAAGGCAATTATAAGTCTGTTTTAAGAATAAGTTAGTAAATAATGAAATAAAATATTTTAATTTACTTTTCTTAGTACTGTACTTATTTTATCTTTGCTATTAGTAATTGAAATCGTTAATTTCTTCACAATACCAATGTCATTTTATTTCGATCTGGTAACTACAAATAGAAATAGTTGTTTTTGTTCATTATTACTTGTAATAAATATATATTTACCAATTTTACGAATCCATTGTTATTTACTTCCTGAGAATACAGAATTGCACTTATAATGCAATTTGTATTCTTCGAAACTATAGCAATTCATTTGATTTGATTTGTTATTGCTTTGATTATCGGTGTCAACCTTCTAAATGAGATGAAACTAAATGGGATATATATTTATTCATATTCACAGATAATGGAATCATATAGCCAAGGAATGCTTTGCTATAGCAAATATAAATACAAATAGATAAAGATGTAAAGGATAAGTCTTCTGTCAAATGGTTTGGATAATATATCATAAGATGTCGAGAAATGTCAGATACTATATTGATAGCCATCCGTCATAAATATCTATACTGATCTCTGTATACCTTTTAGCATTTGCATGGAATTTATATTGTTTACTATTACATAATGAATATATGTAATTCTGTAAGTCTGTAATATAGAGCGGAATTTCTTATCATATGTAAAGGTAAATAAATAATTTTGCACACCAGACGGTCTGGTAAACTGCCTTATTGTAACGATTACTTCAATTATGCTTTGACATGCAGTGAAGTGTTTTCAACTTATGCGATACGTACATTAGTCTAGATTTACTTATGAATTGCTTGACATGTTCAAGTATTTACTCCTATTACATTGGCCTACACACAAAATACATGTGTATATGGCATCACTCAAATACGAATGATTGTGATGTACCCATATCAGTCTTAATTTTGTTCATTATTTTAAATCAGGTTATCTTGAGATTCAATTAATGTACAAGAAAACAAAATCCTTTCAGATTTCAGAGTTGCAAGATTGTACATAACTATGAAATATGGAATAATGATCCAATGTAATGCCAAGAGTGCATTTATAAATGTTTTTAAATACATATCTTATTTCTCTATCTTTCTATAAAGAATTGCAATAGATAAGCTATCTAACAAAGTTATCTGTTGTGAATTAATTATATGTGCCGAATTACAATTTGATTGCAATTAGAAAAAATGAATTCAGTTATCTCACTCGATCTTTTTTCATTAGCTAAATAATTGAATCTATTTTACATTATTCAAAGTAGTGTGCTTTTACCGTCTGATATTCGGAACATAAAATAAAACATATCTTGGCAATTTCAAATCATTTCAACTGAAATTCAAAAGCATAAAACATAAAACTTTCATTTTTTATGTTATAAATCATCTGGGACACTTAATACAGATGGATATGCAAAGATGATTAAAATATATTCAGAAATGAATTGAAAATCGTATTTTTGTGCTTTTCCTAGCCCGATTTGGGCATTTTTACACAAGTTGCACAAGTTATTGGTCTTAGTCTAAATCATTTGGTACAAAGAATGTTATTTTCAGTCATGTCACATCAAAAATCCTCAGTGGATTCCCTTTAAGTCCTCTTTTTATCACATTTAAGGGTGGATATAAGCACGTGACTATTTGGAATCATTAACATCATTAACAAGTTGTTTTCCTAATTAAGAATATATCGTTTGCATGACAATGTTATCACATATTTTATTTTTATACATAAACATAAACTTGTTTCTTGAAGGCATAATAATT